AGATGTAAACACAAATCCAGGCCCATTTTCCCCAACATACACATGCACACAGATATGCTCACATACACACATATATGTATATATACATGCATGTATGTGTGTATATGTATGTATATATGCATGTGTATATATGTGTGTGCATATATACAAATACATACATACATGTGTGTGTATGTGTGTGTGTGTATACATATGCTCTGCAAGGTACTTATATTTGTGATCTAGACCTGTGATTTCTTTGGCATGGGAAACTCCTGGTACAGGAGCTGATGAAGACCTTCGAGTCTATAATTTATAATCTTACAGAGTCAGCTGGGACTCTGAGAAGTTAAGATAAGATACTTGCCCACGGTCAGAGAGTCATTATGCGTCAGAGACAGAGCCTGAATTCAGGTTCTGACTGGCTTTTAGATCAGCCCTTTACCTGCTCTATCATGCCGTCTCTGCTTTTTCACAATGAACCCTAGCTCATTGTCAACTCTGGAGGGCATGGATGGGGAACCTGCTAACTCCAGGCCACGTGTGGCCTCGAAGCCTCAGGTTCTCCAACCCTGCTCGAGGCCATTAGAAGACCTGGGATCAAATTCTACCTGTAGTGCTTACTACCTCTATAACCACGGGCAACCCATTTAACTTCCTAGGCCTCAGTTTCCTTAAATGTAAAATGAGGAGTCTGGACTAGCTTTCTTCTCCTCTTTCTCACTATTCTAGACCTGTGGTCTCATACCTCTGCCATACTATCTCTTTGCCAAGGCCAGAGGAGTAAAAAGATTTTAAAAAGGCATGGTCCCTGCCTTTAAAAGGTTTACACCAAAAGGTAGTAAATGAAATTATCTTTACTATGTATGTATATATACACATATGCATATATATACAAGTATTACTTTTTCAGCTACAAAAATATTTTAAACTGTATTTCCATGGACAGTGTGAAAATTCAGAATGCATGTTTGAGAGTAAGAAGTCAGTGGTCATTTTTACACCCACAGCTACATGGCCGATAAAAAGCATGTGGTTTTTGTGGTGGTTTTTTTTAGCCACATAATTTCCACAGACTACACCCTTGTTTTATACCATGACAACCTTATAACAACAACACACGCCCTTGAGGTTTCGAAGCTACATGATTGTGATGCCCTCTTTACTGCTAGTGCATGTTTGATCCCTGGTATGAGCAGCCCGGCTCACATTACGCCTAGGCTGCTTGGCCGGCATTGTGTGCCGCTAAAATCAGGGATGGATTGTAAACTTCTGGGGGCGTTAAAAGCCATTGATAATGAGCTGCCTTCTCGGACTCCTCCGCATCATATCTGTGCTCCTTGGGGACAAACCCACAGGTTACCTAACCTCTTCATTTTCGAGCCTTTTGGGTACTAGACATGCCCTTCTCCATCCTTTTCCAGTTCTTAAAGCATACCATACCATTTACCCTAGTGATAGAAACTGATATTTATATAGCAGTTTGCAGTTGATGTGTATTATCTCATTTGAAGTAATTAACAATTACATTAAGAGTTGAAGGGGGCCCCGAAAGCCATCTAGTCCAAATCCCTTCATTTACAGAAGAGCAAATTGAGGTCCAGGGAAGCTAAGTGACTTACTCAAGGCTATATAAAAAATGTCTTAGGGAAAATCTGAATCCACATTTTCTGACTCCAAAGCAAGGATTCTTAACATTTTGTTTGTCGTGGACCCCTTAGCAGTATGGCAAAGCCCATGGGCCCCTAGTCAGAATAGTGTTTTTAAGATGCAATGTTTTAAAATGCATAAAATACAATACACATGATGACAAAAGAAACCAATTCTATTGACATTCTCAAAATTAAAAAAAAAAAAACCTTCATGGGCCCTAGGTTAAGAGCCCCATGTCTTGAATTAGCACACTGTCCAGTGTATGCTAATGCTTCCCTAGAAGTAAGCCTACTATCCACAAGTATATAGTTAATGCTACAGGGTACTGTCAGTTGTTATATATGTTTCTGGTACAGTTTCTCAATTTCATTGAGATTTCATTTTTTGTTTTTGTTTTAACCCCCCCCCCTAAATTTTACTGGACAAGGCACATACTCAAATATTAAAGTGAACGTGTCATAAAAGCAAAAAGCTAATGTTTATATAATAATTTATGTATGTTTTCCCATTCAATTCTCACTTATGAGATCAAGTTAAGAGCCTAGAGAAGAATACTGTCATTTTACGGATAAGAAAACAGGGGCAGAGGGAGATCTAAGTGGCTTGCAGGGGTAGCTAGGAAGCAAAGTGGATGGAGGACCAGCTCTGGAATCAGGAGGACCTGAGTTCAAATCCGTCCTCAGACATTTAACTAGCTATATGAGCCAGGGCAAGTCATTCAACCCCTATTGCCTCTACCAAAAAACAAAACAAAACAAAACAAAAAAACAACAGCAACAAAAAAACAAAAACAAAAATACATAAAAAAATTACTTGCCCATAGTCACACAGCTACTAAGTCTCTGAGGCAGTTTTCAAACTTAGTTTAGACCTGTCTCCAAGTCCAGTGTTTTATTTCCCTCTGCCTTCTTAAATCATTTGTCAGTTGTTGTATCTGTGAGAAATAAACAGGCCAAGGAAGAGATTTTAAAAACGTATAGGCTAGCAGAATACCTTGATTCCAACACAGTGGAGAAAAAGCTGTATAGTCAAGTTGACAAGCATTTATTAAGAGCTACTGTGAGCCAAGCGCTATACTACACACTATATTATGAAAATGTTTGATATTTGAAATGGGTGGCATTTCTTAGTAACAGATTTCCTCTTCCTCATTGTCATCATCAATGAGCATTTCATAGAATCAAAGATTTAGAACTGGAAAGGACCTTGATATTGTTGTTTAATTGTTTTCAATCATGTCTGACTCTTTATGCCCCCATTTGGGGTTTTCTTGGCAGATATACTGGAGTGGTTGGCCATTTCCTTCTTCAACTCATTTTACAGATGAGGAAACTGAGGCAAACAGGGTAAAGTGACTTGTCCAGGGTCACACAACTAGGAGGTATCTGAAGTCAGAATTGAACTTGGGTCTTCCTGACTCCAAGCCCAGCACTCTATCCACTGTACCACTAGTCTTCCATTTACTAAGCACCAGCAAGTTGCTACATACGATGCAGTGTAAGTTACTCATAATCTGTGCTCTGTTTCTTTCTCAGTGCCGGAGTTGGAAGAACTGGAGTTTTTATTGCTCTGGACCACTTAACACAACATATAAATGACCATGATTTTGTGGATATATACGGACTTGTAGCAGAACTGAGAAGTGAGAGAATGTGCATGGTACAGAACCTGGTAAGACAGAAAGCTCCCAGTAGTCCTCTGAGCCCATCCAGAGTTTGTACGTGGAAAACAATCCTTCAGATGAAATATTGACATCCCTTTAATATATTCAAGCACATAAAGCTTTAAAGGAGATAATTAGGACCAAATTTCCGAGGCAGAGAAGGGTGCAGTGGATAAAGTGATGGAGCTGCAGTCAGGAAGACCTGAGTTCAAAGGTGACCTCAAATACTAGCTAATTTGTGTTGTTGTTCTCTTGTTTCAGTTGAGTCTGACTTATCGTGACCCCATTTGGGGTTTTCTTGGCAAAGATACTGGAGTGGTTTGCCATTTCCTTCTCCAGCTCATTTTACAGATGAGAAACTGAGGCAAATAGGGTTAAATGACTTGTCCAGGGTCACAGAGCTAGTAAGTGTGTGAGCCAGGATTGGAACTCCGAAAAATGAGTCTTCCTGATTCCAAGCCCAGTGCTACATCCACTTACCACCTAACTGCTCCACCAGCTAACTTACTAAAGTGTTATAGCTGTATGACCCTGGGCAAGTCACTTAAAAAAAAAAAAACTCTCCTTTCCTCAGTTTCCCCACCTGTAAAATAAGCATATAAACAGCATTTACCTCTCAAGGGTGTTGTGAGGATCAAATTAAATACATACGCATAGTGCCTGACACATATTAAGCACTATATAAATGCTGATTGCCTTTCCTTCCTCCTTATACAAGGTATAATGCTTAGTTTTTTTTTATTCTGACATTTTACAGAATTTTACTATTTCTACTTTCAAAAAAGCTAATTTTGACACAAATCAGTGATTGACTTTGAATAATTTGAAGGCTAATTATCTCACTTTCAGATTTGCTGTCCTTAATAATATTCTCCTTCAGAGTAATCTTGCCCCTAGAAGGAAAGAGGAAGCAAAATTCATCCATCCATTTTCATATTTAAGCCCGATGAAATTTTTCTTTTATTTGGTACAGACTTAGGATTTAATTGGTTTGTGGAACTCCCTGGAAACCCCTTCTTACCAATGAAGAGTGGCAACTCTACAATTTAAAGCCAGTGAGTTGCCTTGTGAATAAGAGCCTTTCTCAAGGTCACACAGACAGTATATGTCAGAGGCAGAATGCGGTACCCAATGTTCCTGACTCCTGGGTCAGCTCCCTATCCTCTATGCAATATTCCTTCCTTTCAAAGGGTATTAAAAATAATAACCAAAATTAATGTGGAGAATTTTCTCTAAATGTCAATTATTAGTAACATTATAGAGTAATAGCCTATATTTCTATTAATGATGGTTTTATGTAAATATTACATATTCTATCTATATTATATATAATACAGAATAATTATCTCTAATAATATATACACACATATGCATGTATACTCACATATATACATATGCACATATACACATATGCATACATGTATGTGGCTACACTTACATATGCATACATACTTACACAGACCCATGTACATGTATATATGTGTGTATGTATATGCATCTAGGTGGTGCAGTGGTTAGAGTGCTGTGCCTGAAGCCAGAAAAACTCATTTTCCTATGTTCAGATACAGCCTCAGACATTTACTTGCTGTGTGGGCCTGAACAAGTCACTCAATCCTGTTTGCCTCAGTTCCTCATCTATAAAATGAACTAGAGAAGGAAATGGCAAACTACTCCAGTATCTTTCCCCCCAAAAAAAAACCCCAAATGGCGTCATGAAAAGTTAGACATCACTGAAATTAATAAATATCTGTATACACCCATTTATGTACATACACACATGTATGTAAACACATATGTGTATGTGTGTATATGTCAATATAAATATGCATATATATGTGCGTGTGTACGTGTGTGTACATATATAAATATATAACAGTTGGCAGGTTTTATGTTAGATTGGGTCTGATTTCTGTTTAAAACTGAAATAATAGAAGCAAAAACGGTTATGCAAAAAGAAACCTTTTCTGTTTGGAAGTAATTTCTTTACTTTGTCCAGTGATCTGCAAACATGATGAAACATCTATATTACCATCTGTGACAAAATATTTTATGTACTTATGTAGAAAAAATAATATTTACCTAATATTTTTCATGGATTCATTTATATATTTATATTTTAAGGACAGTACTAAACGAGCATTGGTATAGGAAACTTCAAGATAACTAAGTTCTCTCCACAGGTGGGCACCTTCACTGAAATTTGTATCTTAGAGAATTTACAAAAGAACCGAGAGATTAAATGACTTGCCAAGGTCACACAGCCATTATATGGCCAAGGCAGGATTTGAACCCATCCATGCTTTCTTGGCTCTGTGGACAGCTCTCTATAAACTGCTTCATGACTGTCTTTCATTACGTAAACACATGAACATACACATACATAGTATATATGAAAATAGATCCTATGTACATATATAGAAAATCACAAGATTTCCACAACTTTCCACCTATATGAATATGTAAATCTGATGTCATTGAATAGAGCATCCACTGTAGTAAGGGCTTATACCACCCTATTATAACACACAAAGCAACCTTCCCAAGAATAGCATTTTCACTACCATTCTGATGCTAGTTCTATTCAAAGAGCATTTGCTAAGTGGCTGCTAAGTGCCAGTCATTGTACTAGAGTTACAAAGCCAAAAAAAGGAAAAATTCCTACCCTCAAGGCATTTTGAGTTCCTCGGTGCCTTTTTCTTATAGTGGAAAAGAAACAGAGCTACTATCAAATGGTCTTAATTATTAAGGCCTGCATTCCTTCATACACAAACGGCTGTTGTAGTCCTCACGGGCCTCAAAAGCAGTGCACTTAAGGGCACTTGCTAGCCATGAGATGGTGCCTAGTGACTTGGTTAGAGGCACATTCACAAACCCAATAATAATAGCTAAAGTACTTTAATATTTTGCAAATCACTTTGCAGCAGCTGTGGGTAGGCTTTACAAGCATTTTTATGCTCATTTTAGAAATGAGAAAACTGAAGCTCAGAAATGTTGAGTATGTAACCCAAAGTCAGATAACCAGTAAGTATCAGGTTGAAGACTTGAATACAGGTCTCTGTCGATTCCAAGCCTACTTCTACTACCCTATGCTGCCCTCTCCAAGGTAGCCCTACTGACCCATGAGAACCTTTTGGATAATGGGCCTATTCTTAACTCCACCTAGAGATTAAGAATCACTCTGAAATATTTTCCCCCCTCTGGATCCCCCTATGTGGAAGGAAAATATACTGGAAGTTTTTGTGCAATTATTGTAGTTATCGGGTCCATAAGATTTCCCACATCTATACTTTCTACCGCAGCTAGGTGGTACAGTGGATAGAGCACTAGACCTAGAGTTATGAAGACAACATCAAATCTGCCTCAGTTACTTAATCGCTGTAACATTTCTCAGTCTCAGTTTATTTATCTGTAAAGTGGAAGCAATAATAGCACCTACTGGGGCAGATAGGTGGCACAGTGGGGGCGACTAGGTGGTGCAGTGGATAGAGCACCAGCCCTGAAGTCAGGAGGACCTGAGTTCAAACCTGGCTTCAGACCAAACACTTGACACTTACTAGCTGTGTGACCCTGGGCAAGTCACTTAACCCCAATTGCCTAAAATAATGATAATAATGATAATAATAATAATAACACCTACCTCACAGGATTGTTGTGTGGATCAACTGAGAAAATGTATGTAAAATGCTTTGCAAAGCTAAAAGTGCTATATAAATGTTAGCTGTTATTAGTATAGTTATCATTATTTATTAAACTGTTTTATAAACCTTAAAGTACTGTAGAAATATTCCATATTATTATTAACTGTAGAAAAATTGACAATCTGTTCTAGTGGAGGGCATTTCTACATGGATGAAATCACAGGTTCGCATTAAAAATACCCACACTCTGAGAATTACCCCAGAATTACCCCATAACATTCCCAGTTACAAGTTTTAGCAGCCATTGCTTTCCCCCCTCCTATCAGAAGAAGGGTTGACAGGGGTTGGTCACAACCATCAGATATCAGGAGAATCACTTTTTAACAAACATACAAGACCTGATACATTCAACTAGGTACCGTCCTACACAGTGATTTCCTTGGGGAACTGAATGTTTCCTACAGACATGCTGCCATTGGGAACAATATTCCTGGGCTACCTTGGGGCTACTTTGAGTGTCCCATTGTTAGTATTACATTTAATTATTTAGAAAGAATTCCCAAATGTTTGATATCAGGTACACAAAATGTGACTGACACAACTTTTTTTTAAAATTTTATGTTGAGCCTGGTCTTTTGGATAGGTGTGGTCACAGCTGTGGGGACTTTAAATAAATAAATATATAAATAAATACATAGATAAATAAATAAATAATAGCTCCTTGGAAAGTTTTTGCCACCTCCAGTTTCAGCTTTACGAAGATCCTCATCTCCTTTCTACAACCCTGGTGCCTCCAAACCATTTAAAAAGAGATCCTATTCTTTAGCTTATCCTTATGTGATCTTTTCCTGCTTTGCCTCTCCTCAGTTGCTGTGGTCTCCCCTACCTGAAAATGTCTTTGCATTTACTCTGTGTATACTTTATATTTCCTTCTATGTTTGCATACCATTTTTTTTCAGTAGAATTTAAGCTCTTTGAGAACAGGCATTGTTTTATTTTGTCTCCATATCACCTACTACTAACAATGTGTCTGGCATGCAGTAAGTGCTTAATAAATGCTTGTTGAATGAATGAGCAATCAAATGAAACATGAAATTGAAGAAACGTACAAACTAATGGTTTGTCATTTTTAGCCATCTCAAACAAGCATTTGGAGGTTAGTCACCTGCATAAAGATTCCTGAAATAAATTAATTAAAATTACATATTTTTTCAATCAAGCAAAAAAAAAAGAAGATTCCTGAAGTCATCAGAAATAACAAGATGCATGGGGTAGAAATCTAGTAGGAAGCATTTATTGAGCACTTACTGTGTGCTAGGCACTTTGCTAAGTGTTTACTAAGGGACCTTTTGTTGTAAATGGCATACAATCACTCCAAAACAACAGCCTCTTTCATTTATGCCTTTATTGTTCTGTATACTTCTTCAAAATAAGTCTTCAAAAATATTTTTGTTTCACTTTGCATTTCTTTGCTGTCCAGGCACAATACATTTTTTTGCATCAATGCATTTTGGATCTGTTATCAAGTAAGGGAAGTCATCAGCCCATCTGTTTTGTGAATTATTCAGCCCTTCAGAAGATGGACTCTTTGGATGCCATGGAAGGTAAACAGAGACAGGTTGTACCCAACTTATTTTCTCCCCCACCCCTACCCCAGCAGGTGCATTATTTAAAAATGAGCATTCTTTGACAAGCATTTAGGGGGCCGATCAGTGTAAACATGAATCTTCTATTCCCCTTTAACCCAAGTCACAGTAGGGCCACTTATGTATGTTATATCCTCTTACTGAAATTTTTGAAATCATGCAGATTTAACTATGATTTCTTTCTTGTAACCTATCCTTTTATGTTTGTAGGTGATGTTGAGCTTGAATGGGAAGAAACCACCATGTAAATATTCTGACAAAAGATTACATCTGGAGGATTTTTTTCACATCCCAAGGGCCAAATGTATTCCCTGTTAACCTGGATTAAAAGTCTCAATCTTAAAAAAAAAAATCCTCTTTTTTTTTTTTAACAAAAATTGTTAGAAAGTGTGTAACAATTGTTTTATGAAAACATCTAGGCGACACAGTTTCTTCATTTTTTAAAAATTTTGCACAGAATAACGTAGTCTGCCTTTAAAACAAATGTGTCCTCTGAGGCATCCCAGAGTATCTTGCAGATCAACACACTTTTTTTTTAATGGGCCAAATGTAATGTGAAGTTATCATCCCCTTAGCATGAATACTTCACTTGAATTTTCCCTGATTTTAAGTCCATGCTGTAAATGTTGATACAGTGGTGGCCTTTTGGCCTCCTGGGTGTTGACATTTCTTGTGGATTACTTCCAGAACTGTCATGATGATCTCTGCCTCGATGTATGTTCCTGGGTTTTGAATTTTCTGTTTTATGAGTGCTGGGATATCAACTCATGATCCTGAACAGCTGAACAGTCACCCCCTGACACTGCAGGAATTATTCAGGTTTTATACAACACACAGTAGCTCTTCAGGGACACTTAGGGCTATTTAAGCTGCTTTGTGATCCCAAGTTTTTTTTTTTTAAATAGAAGAAAACAAAGAAGTGAAGAGAGAAAATGGTTCATCTATGTGTATAAAATACCAAAGCATCCCTCAAACTGGACAGCTTCTGGAAATGTTCCATCAAAAATGTTTTGTTCTATTTTAAAGTACAATGTAGAGTCGGTTTGTCTGAATGTTGTACCTTAGGAATAGATTGATCTGATTATTGTATATTTTTGGAGTATTCCTGTACCTGCTAATACTAACTTAAAAAAAAAATGACAAACAAATGAACAACTGTAGTGTGATTCCAACTTGTAAACTAAAGATGTAGATTAAGCAATTTATTGTACTACCGTGGTGCCAACAGGGTCTTAAGATCAGTTTGAATAGTATGGTCCATATTTCACTTTCTAGTATTGTTTCGTTGGGGGAGGGGGGATGTTCGACGTCGTATCTGGAAATGAACTGTAATCCAAAAGCAAACCATAAAGAGATTTGGAAAGAAAAGCTTTGTTTCTATTTCCTCAGTTTTTCAGGAAATGAAAAGAAACATAATCATTAAATTTTGAACTTCAGAATAGTTTAGTTAATATGCATATATTTCATTTGAATATTTAAAGCAAATAGTATCAACTTGTCTAAACTCCTAATACTACTTAAGTAACTCCCACATAAGTATTTGTTGGTTGACCTATTGATATAATTCTTAATGCAGATGACAGTCCAATGAAAGAAGTTTGCTACTGTGGAAAGACCCAAAATACTTTTGAAAATGTTAATACAGCTAATATTGATTTCACATGTGCTTTAATATATATATATATATATACATATATAACTATCTGATGACTAATAAATATATTTTGTGATTTGGATTACTTTTTTGCAACCAGAAGTTGAAATTTTATCCTTTTCCTATGAGATGCTTAGCTTCATATAAGTCATGAAAGCATAACTGGTCCATCATTTCCCTCAAGGCTAAATCAGTTATTGTGATATATGAATCAACTAACCTAGAATTCATAATGCAAGAAATAATTTGATTTTGTTGTTAAGTCATGTCCAACTATTTGAGACCCCATTTGGGTGTTTTTTGTTTGTTTTGTTTTGTTTTGTTTGTGGCAAAAATACTGGAGTGGTTTGCCATTTACTTCTCCAGATAATTTTATAGAGGAGGAACTGAGGCAAAACAGGGTTAGGTGACTTGCCTAGGGTTACACAACAAGTAAGTGTCTGAGGCTGGATTTGAATTCATGAAGATGAGTATTCTTAATTCCAGGCCTGGCACTCTATCCTCTGTGCCAGCTAGCTTTACATTTACCTTTACCCTTACCCAAGAAAAGCAAGGCAGCACAGCCTATTGGGGTGAGAGGGAAGGCCAGCCTTGGTGTTAAGCTGACTTCGCTAGATTTAAGTCATGGTCTCTGACACTGACTGGTTGTAAGTGTCTAACAAGTCACTTAACCTCTCAATACTCCCAGGTGACTCTATTAAGACTGTGAGTTATGGTATGGGGTCCAGTGAAACCTAGGTAACCCTCCACAGAACATTGATATTAAATATATTTATAAATATATTAAATATATAAATGATATTGATATTAAATGCATAAAATACAATCCATAGGAATGCAAAGGAAACCAATTTTTTTGGAATTTAATAAAAAAAATTAAGTTTGTAAACCACAGGTTAAAAACTTCTCATTCAGAAGATGCTGCTTATGTATGTGTTTCCAGGGTGAGGGTTACCTCACTCATAGTTTTCTACATAGATGAAATCATAGATTAAAACAAAAAAGAAAGCAAAACAAACCAAAACAAAAACTTTTACCTATCTTTTATTGACTTGTCAATCCATTGAAGTGAAGGTGAAATCATCTCTACAGTATTACATGAAGGGAGCATCTAAGATACCAGAAAGCATTGGACTCCAGCCTCAGTCTTGGGTTCTCTTCCTTTAGTTCTTAATTTGGTGTTTTCCATTTCCATTTCCTGATGATGCTGGGGGTGACAGTTACTTCAGCCTCTCCCCTCCTCCCAAACTACCATCAAAGTAGAAGTTGACCAAGAAAACCTGCCCGGTGACTTGTCTGGTTTCCATGAGGAAGTAGGACTAGTCAATAAAGATTGACTATGGATCTCAACGGACCTTAGTCATCAAATAATAATAGCCAACATTTATGTATTGCTTGAGGATTTGAGAAGTGTTTTACATACAGTCTTTTACAAAAAGTCTTTTTTTACAAAAGTCTTTTATAGCTTAAAGCTGCAGGTAGACTTTTGGAACCTCTTGTACATAGTCTCATTTTATTTAAGCCTCACAACAAACCTGTGATGTAAGTGCTATTATCAGCCTGATTTTTTTTTTTTTTTTTTTTAGGCAATTGGGGTTAAGTGTCTTGCTCAGGATCACACAGTTAGTAAGTGTCTAGTGTTTGGTCTGAGGCTGGATTTGAACTCAGGTCCTCCTGACTTCAGGGCCAGTGCTCTAGCAACTGCGCCACCTAGCTGCCCCCAGCCTGATTTTTTAAAGAGGAAAATGAGGCTGAAAGAAATTAAATGACATGCCTGGGGTCAAAAGTTAGTAAGTGTCTGAGACAGGGCTTGAATCTAAATTGGTCTTTCTAACTTCACCTCCACTCAAGTACCAAATGACTCCCTAGCTAATTCACCTTCCCCTTATTTTACGGATAAGGAATCTGAGGCAAACAGAGGTTAAGTGACTTGTCCAGGGTCACAGAGCTGGTATCAGAGGTAGTATTTGAACTCAGATCTTCTGACTCCAGATCTGAGTTAAAATCCGGCTTCAGGCACTTATTAGCTGTGTGACCCTGGACAACTCATTTAACCTCTGTTTAATCTCAGTTTCCTCATCTGTAAAATGGGGATAATAATAGCACCTACCTCCCAGGGTTGTTGTGAGTCAAATGGGATAATAGTTGCAAAGCATTTGGCACATAGTAAGTACTATATGTGTTCTCTATTATTATTAGTTTATATATATGCACATATAAACATGCCTATACATATATATACATGCATATGTACACATACATATACACATGTATATATGTATATATACATGTATGTATATACATATATATTTAAATATGCACATCATAGAGAATACAATGACTCAAGCTTGAATAACAAGGCAGAAAACAGCACAAGCTGGGAGAAGAGACAGAGAAAGAATTAAGGACTAGCCTCTCCCAGGATGTCTAGGGTTTGGGTTACTAAGGAGTAAGAACAATCTTATGGGAGAATAACCTGGGAAGCACGTCTATATGCTGCTCTTTTCCAGCTAGAGGGTAATTTTTATAGGTTTTCAGAGAGTCACATTAGAGTGTCTTTTCAACTTTATGTCCTTACAAGCAAAAATAAAAATAAAAATGGAGGGAATTTTTTTTTTCATTCAGAAACATGTGTGCTTGATAAAGTTTATTAAATGAATGAATAAATGGAAAGCAGTCTACCAGGCTCCAGAAAGCTGGCTGATCTGGAGTTGTTTGCGATAGGCCAAAGTAATGGAAAAGTCAGCAAAGGTAGGGTGGCCCTACTTGGCAAATGGCAAGAGAAAAGACAAATGACAGCATGACAGTTGCCATTCACAGGAGGCAAGGATGTCTTATCAAACAGAGACTGTGATGTAGGGGCAAGAGTTGCTGGACTTGAAGCCAGGGTTCAGAACCTCATTACAGTTATTGGCAATGGAACCCTAAGTGAGTCAAAGACTCAAAAACTTTAGATCAAGACCTAGAGGGACTTGATACATCATTTAATCCAACCTTTTTATTTTAAAGATGAGGAAACTGAAGCATCGAAATGTTAAGTGGCAGAGTCAGAAGTCAGTGACTCCAAATCTAGACCTCTCTACTGCACCATGAAGCCAGAAATCAAACTCAGACTCTGAAACCAATTTCTCTTGGCCACTGTCAGACTCTTGATGAAAAAAAAAATACTTTCTTTTGCTTAAAATGTCTGGATATTTCAAGGCAAAAATATTTTTCTAACTTTAATGATGTAGATACTTACCGTAATAGTTTCCTTTCAGTCTGTATACATAGATATAAATGTATCTATCAACATCCATGAGCACAAAATAGCAATACAACATGAACTGATTGCAAATTTACCTACATTTGGAATCCAACAGTTACATGCAAACCATCCCATTTAGCTTTCCTATGTGAATCATGCACACATCAAAAATGACCTAGAATAAGTGGAGATAACTTTTGTTCAGTGAGTTGATTCAGTGTAGTAATCAGTGCTCCGCTGTTGACAAGTGGGTAGTGACTCATTAATGAACTCTAGACTAGGAATTAAAGACCTAGGTACAAGTCCTGGTTCTGGCACTTGCTACTTAAGTGAGCTTGGTTAAATCCCTTTACTTCTCTGAACATCTGTTTTCTTATCTGTAAAATGTAGGTCATGATAACTGCATTATTCACT